GCTCAGAGTGCCCCGCCCTCCGCCGCCGCGCAACTTGCAGGGTTGCACTTGACCAGCGCCACCTCCCGGCGCGCTCCGCCCCTCGTGACGCGAGCGGAGGGGGGGAGCGGGCCCCAGAGCTGCCAGGGAGCCCTGCGCGCCCCGCCGCAAGCTGGCTTGGGCTGGGGCTGCAGGAGGAAGGCGCGCGGCTCGTCACGCGTCCTCTGCGCGGGCGCGGCAGGTCTGGTCAGCGTTAGTATGCGTCTGCTGGGGTGGGCACCCACAGATCCTAGGTCGCAGCTGCCCAGATGAAGGCCAAGGACAGATGCATGCTGTGGCTTCTTGAATTCTGGGCTTAGGAGGGCTGGAGGTGGGGGTGGGGAATGGACCAGCAGCTCGCTCTTGGGGGCCCATCTAGGTTAAGCATCCAGGTGTCCAGGTTAGTGAGCTCAGTGGACGTATTGGCTGCAACCTGGACCTTCGGCCCGACCTGCAGAGCCTGGCTGCAGAAAGAAGCGTTATGTCCACACTGCACCCACAATGCTTTGCTGCTGCAAATGGGCAACCAGTTCCTTTGAGTGTGGGGAAGTGCAGGCGCTGCTTCTGTTGGTCTCAGGCGGTGCCAGCGAGGAAGATTTGGGGGCATAATTTATGCCCCCTGACAAACAGTGCAGCTGCGCTGAGTCAGGCTCCAGGGCTCAGGGCGTTAATGTACCCGAAGCCCGGACTTGTGGCTTCTTTGTAGTCTGAACCACCAGGGAGACTGGGAGCTTGCTTCCTGCACCCTTAAGGCATTTGTCCCTTTTCCTCCCCCCTGCAACTTGTGCACACAAATGGAACTAGCGTTTGGTTTAAAGCCTGGTGGGTGAAATGATGGGGGGGCAAGATGCAAACGGTTTTCAGAGAGCCTTGTGGGGGGAGAACGTTGTGCAGAAGTCTTCTTTTTACTGCCCAGAAGGACAGAACAAAGAGAGGGCCAGAGCAGTGAAACCTGCACAGGATGGGTGAAGAAACTCTTCAGACTTCTAAACTTAGTGCAGCAGGTTGATGGGGTGTCCCTTGGTGACTGAGAGCCTGACTAAAAGGCTTACATGCTCACTGGAGAAGGGACAGGAAGGTCTCGGGAAGAAGGTATAAATCTTCAGTGCCCCTCCCGTCTGCATTCTGTTACTGGGGCAGGGCGTATTGCAGGAGGGAGAGAGGGGTCTTCACTCTAGGGCAGGGCACTGTCACCAGACCACTCAAAATTACCCGAATGGCTACAGTGTGTGTCGATGAGATCATGCTCCCTAACACACCGTGTAGGTTAGTGTGTAGGTCCTCTCAATGGATGGATGTGATGGGGAAGGCGGGAGGAGGGAAGTTCCTCGGGAGGGAGACACGCACACAGTCCCTGGTGGCGGGAATAAGTTGCTGAGTGAACGAAGGATTGGGCGGGGGCACTTGGGAGTGACAGCTGCCCCTGCTTAGCCTCACATCCATCTTCAGTGGGTTCTTTGCAGAGAGATCATCCATAAAGCTATGTCCGTATCTCTTGCTGGTGCAGACGGTTAAGTGCTCAAGTACTAAAACCTAAAGGTTGGTGGTTCACACCACCTGGGGCGCCTCAGAAGTAAGTCCTGGCACTCTACTTCCAAAAGGTCCCAGCCTTGAAAACCTCATTAAGTTCTGCACTATACACATGGGGTGGCGCGAGTCGGAATCTGCTGTACAGGAAATGACAACTGCACACACACACAGAGTGCAACCGCACACATGCACACAGAGAAAGTGCAACTGCACACATGCACACACACAAAGAGTATAACCGCACACATACACACACAGAGAAAGAGTGCAACCGCACACACACAGAGTGAGAGCGGGAGAGCGACAGAGCGAGGGAGAAAGAGGCAGTGTTTATAGTGTTTGATGTAATAGCAGCCTTGAAAGCCAGACAAGGGAAAAAGCCTTCACTATAAACACAAGGCAACAGCTGCCTCCCCCCGCCCCGTTTCCATACTTCACAAGTATTAAGAGTCGAGTGAAAAACCAAGTGGACACTGGTGAGTGGGACCATTTGTGGCCGACACTGACTTGGCGGTGCTCCGTTGCTTCTTTCCGGCAGCGAGGCGTCCTTTCCAGACCTAAGGGGAGGAAAGACTTCACTTCCTCGGCTGTCACCATCTCCAGGAGATTGAGCAAGAGTATTCCGGGCACTGCAGAAAAGGTGATGGGAGCTTTGACGGAGGCACTGGCTAGATTTGTTCTGCTTTTTGTTTGTTTGTTTTGGGGGTGGGCGTTAGCACAGTACTCATGACCACAAATGTGTTTTTCAGAGCATCCCCCAAACCCTAGATGATGACCGGCCACGTGCTTTTTTCAAGAAAGGGAGTAGGGTGAGGGAATTTCATCAGAGCAGCAGGTAAATGTTTCTTTCATGCAATAGCTTTATCTTGCAGAGGACAGGTGACCTCCGTTCTCCGGTCGCGCTTGTGTGTGGTTGGGGAAACATGTTTGTGTGTGGATAAAGAACATTGAGGTGACTGGCAAACGTGAGCAGGGAGATAGCTTTAAAGACTGCTGGTTGGTGAAGATTCCGGACATCATGTTTCTGATCATATTAGCGGAACCTGCATCCTGGGCTAGGTTTCCTTCCCACGTTCGTTTCTGTTTGTATAACCAGGCAGCTGATAATAATTAACCTTTACGGATGCGTGTTGCAGAGGGCTGTCAACAAACGTTCTAACAGTTGTGCAGCTCCGCTGTGGAGAGGACAAGACTCCAGAAAGAGTAAGGTGCTACTCTAGGAACACGCATGAGAGTGGTTGTAGCCTGCTGCCGCCAGGCAGATTCTCGCTCTTAGCGACCCTGTAGGGCGGTAGAACTGCCTGCCCCATAGCGTTTCCAAGGCGGCACCCTTTATGAAAGCACACTGCCACATCTTTGTCCTTGTGATAACACAATGCGAGTGAAAAAAATGGGGTTGATTTTACCTTGTAAATGGCAGGTAAATGGAATTAATGGATACGGCTTTTTGTGTGTGTGTGTCTGTACACACCCACCCACTGCCATCGAATCGATTCCAACTCATAATGTACACAGTATTTGTTAATTCCACTTACCTGCCACTCTCAAGGCAATATCAGCCCTATTTTTTTCATTCCTATAAGGTGCTCTGGTAGCGCAGTGCCTGAGGCATTTTGACTCCAGAAGGAAGACCGGGCAATCTACTTCTGTAAAGATTTAACCGCCTCAGAAACCCTATGAGGGTCACTATGAGTCCGAATCGACTTAATAGTGGGTTTGGTTTATTGTGACATAAGGCACCATATGATTTCATTTCCACCCTTTTCAACACAGTTTTCCCAGGACGCATTCTATCTGAAAGCACTGTAGCTTTGGGGTTAAGGTGGAAATGTATATACTGCCCTTCTGAATGTTAACATCTTAGTACCTCAGGATAGTGGTGCAGTTTCATAATCCTAATTACCAACTAGGAGCTCTGATAGCGTAGTCCCTAAGGCATTTGACTGCTAAGCAGAAGGCTGGAGGTTCAAACCCACCAGCCACTCCTCGGAAGGAAGGTTGGGCAATCTAGTGCTGTAGTGATGCCGCCTTGGAAACCCAAGGAGGGGTCGCTATGAGTCGGGTCCGACTCAACGTCACATAACAACAACAACAACAACAACAAACTGCTGATTGCATTCTGTAGACCTTGCAGTGCCCGTCTTACTCACATGTAATTTAAAGTGGGCACAAAAAAGAGATCTGTACAGTTTCCTTGTTAACAGTGTTATTAAACAGTGTTAGTCATTAACAGCTAGGAGCCCTGGTGGCACAACAGTTAAAGTCCTCGGCTGCTAACCGAAAGGTCGTGGTTCAAACCTGCTCAGAGGCTCTGTGGGAAAAACGCCCTGGTAACTTGCTCTCTTGAAGATTTCAGCCTGGGAAACCATATGTGGCAGGTCTCCTCTGTCCTAGAGGGTCTCTAGAAGTCAGAATCCACAGCACACAAGGTCGTGAACAGAACTGAGTGAGAATTCTGTGATGTATTGTTTTCTAATCGAATGTTTTTTCCAGTGTACACAATTGCCCTCAAATGATAACACACTGAGAAGTGTTTGTAGTTCTCTGAAATGTTAATATGTGATGTAAAATAGAGTCATGTGTTCACACTGGGTACATATGTGTTATACCACATTTGCTACGTCGAATTACATGTAAAAATTGTCTGTAAAATGATTTATCCTCCAGACGAGTTTGGAGGCTGTAAGGTTTTTAATGCCTAAGTTGGGAGGGAGCTCTGGTGGCGCAGTGCCTAAGGCACTTGACTGCTAACGAGAAGGCTGCCAGTTCAAACCCACCAGCCACTCCTTGGAAGGAAGGTTGGTCAATCTACTTCTGTAGAGATACTGCCTTGGAGACCCAAGGGGGGCTCGCTGTGAGTCGGATCTGACTCGACGGCAGTGTGTCGGGGTCACTGTGTCAGAATCGACTCATGACAACGGGTCTAGTAGTAGCTGACAGAGGAGCCCTGATGGTGCAGTGCTTAAGCACTTGGCTGCTAACCAAAAGGTTGGTGGTTTGAACCCACCCAGTAGCTCCATGGCAGGAAGACCTGGTGACCTGCCTCCTTACAGATGACGGTCTACAAACCCGGTCCGCCGTTCCACTCTGTCACATGGGGTTGGTTGAGTCCAGATGGACTTGACAGCACCTGACACCCCCACCCCCACAGCGCCGCCTGACCGATGCAGCTGGGGGTTCCTCCTCGTCTGGCTGTTTAACCACAGCCAGGCCAGTGTGTCACGTGACGGCCTAATGATGCTGTTGTTTTTCATAGCAACATGAATGCTGAGCCATCTGGGAATAAAGCACAACGTTTCAAGAGTTCTTCAGGAAAAAGGCAGGATCAGTCCCAAGTCCCCCGCATTTCTTCCCAGCTGAAAAGCAGCCTTGTCGGCGGCCCCCGGCAGGCAGGGGGTAAAGCTAAAGAAAGCTTTTACCTGGAGGCAAAGCCTGTAAAGAGTCGGCTGGGTCCCAGGTGTCAGGGGGCCCCAGGGAACCGGCTGTTCCTGGACTTTCAGTCCATGACCATTCTGGGTGAGGATGCCGACGAGGACAGTGCCAGCGACCTCTCCGACTCAGAGAGAGTGCCCATCGACCCTTCACCACTCACCCCTCCGGATCTTCGCCTGAGAGCCGAGGAGGTGGATCCAGCCTACGTCCATCATTCCCCAGATCAAGGCCCCGTGAAGCCCGACTACTGCTACCCCGATTTTCTCCCACCCCCCTTTAACTCCTGGGACCTACAGAAGATGGCCGAGCTTCTGCACGCAGAGGGCAGGGTGGACGCCGTGCCGCGAGTAGGGGGCCTCCTTGGACACTTCATCGGCCGCCTCGTTCAGCTGGAGTGGCTGCAGATTCAGACTGTGCAGACTGAGAGAGCGAAGGGGACCAAAGCAAAGCCACCAGCTGCCCCCAGAACCTTCCGGGCTCTGAAAAGCCCCGGGAGAAGTAAGCTCATGGCTGCTGCTCTGCCCAAGCCACTACCTCACCAGGAAGGGGTGTCACGGCCGGGCCCTTCACGGAAGCAAGATGGGCACTATGAAGATGCCCGTCTGTCGTACATCCCGTTTCAGACTTCGGCGAGACCTGTGGATGGGCCAGGCAGCAGCAGGTTGTGTCCCAAGAAGCAGGCCCTGGAAACAAGAAAGGAGGAGAAGAGAAAAAGGACAAGTGGGGGCACCAGGCTGCAGCGGCCAGAACTGGCCCGCGGCGACAGCAGCGACAGCAAGGTCCGCACCCCTGGCAGCCTCCAAGCGCCCAGATCCTCAGCCCTGATTCTGGACTCCACGGACCCCTGGAAGGCCCCCAGGAGCCCCGTGCACACAGATCTCAAGAAAAAGGGAAGTGCGGATAACGGCAGTCGCACCAGTTCAGCCGGCGAGAAAAAGCCCAAGACCAGCGGGGCAAAGCGAGGCTCCTGTCATTTCAAATGACATTGGCAGCGGTGATCACAAGGCCCCCCGGGGCTTGCATGTCAGAGCGCTCCGCAGTGATGATACTGTGAATTTGACCGACTCTGTGATGACTGGCAGTGAAGTTCTTGACGGGTTGTTTATCCGCCACCCCACCCGCTGACCCCAGCAGGGTGACCATCAGAGAGAGAGGCCTTCTAAGCCTTTCTCTGCGGTCACAGCCCTAAGCAGGCAAGAGCCCTGTCGGTAAAAATGACCAAAGCGGGTGACCTGCTAAGGAGCACAGGCACAACTGTCCAGGCCACGAGTCAAGTAAATTCTCAAAGAGCAGGCACCTACACAGATCAGATGGGGGTCCGCCTCCCAGCATCCGCATGCACCTCAGGAGATCGAATGGTTGTACATCTGCCACACTTAGCATCCCAGCTTTTGGACATAGTGGGAGGTCTTGGCCACCCCTCCCCTGTGGCCCTGCTTTTCCATAAACGTCAGGCACACCTCTGACCCTTCTCCCCTGAGAGAATCTTCCCCTCTGCCTCGGGATGGCGAGTAGAGCGGCCATTGAAGTCCTTTCGGGGTCGACTGCTGGAGCTTTGCACACGGTGGTGGGATCATTGCTTCCCCACCTTCCCCCTTGCAGACAGTTCTCCTGTAGAAGTGGTGGGTGCGGGCCCATGTTGAGTTCTCTGAAATGATGGTAAAGTAATTCACACAGGTTTTCTACTTGACAAGTCAGCGGGCTCCAGCTGATTGTTGCTAATGATTGAGGAGGGGAAGAGTGAAACGGTTGACACGGTAGATTTTCTGGAATGGATGACTTCTCCAAAGAAGAGCCCCAGGGAAACCGTCGTCCAGGATTCGTAAACGAAGGGCCTGTAAGCGGGTAACAGCTCTTGGAACCAGCCTGAACGTGACAGTTATTAACTTACAGACTTGAGACCCGGGTCCTGATGTCCTTAATTAAAAATGCTGGTCTCTGTAGTGTGCAAGAACAGGAATTAACAGCCCCTCCTTCTAGGGGGCTGGGGCGAGGACTTCAGGGGACGCTTCAGGATGGGGGGTACCATGAATCAAGTTAATGGGTAAGTGTTCGGTATCTGGCCCTAGGGCTGCCTGGCTCTTGGACATGCTGCCTGTTGGATTGCAGTGAACGGTGCCCACTGCCCGTGGTTGTCCGGCTGTGCTGTGAGCTTTCTGTTGGTGTTTGTGAATATCTGTAAGAACGTTGGGTGGCTCCTTCTTGGTGGACAGTATATACTAATGACTGTGGTTAATCTGATCCCTTTAAACAACTGTGCTACTTGTTTTTTTATACATGTATTTCTAGTCATTTTTATTTTCTCTCCTTAGGGCAAATGAAAACTTGACATTTTTTATTTCAAGATATATAATATTCTTCAAACTCTTCCACACAGTAGTAAATGTCATGAAAGGCACTTTAGAACTTGGTGGCATATCAGGACAAGATGCTTTTATAGTCAAAAGGGTAGGTAAGAGATCCTTTTAAAATCTGGATTCAGTCCTAAGAAGTGGGAACGAGATTTTTTTGGTAACTTTTCTCCCAGGACTTTATTTCCGGATCCTTCCGGATGCTTCTTCTCTTCTTTAGCCCTCTCGGTTCTCCTGCTGGAGAAAGCCCGCTCTTACACTGGGATCCCACACCTTTCCAAGTGAAGGAAAGACGCACGTGTCGCAGGTGTCCCTCGCCGTGGTCCTCGAATGTGCCACAGATGTTGTGCTCAGTGGGGCAGCTGGAAAATGCCACACTGCCCTCCCTTGCCTTTCGGTGGGCCCTCAGCACGTCTGCTTGCAAGCACTGAGCCCGCCCTGCATGCCTGCTCCCCACTGAGGGCCTTCCTCTGCCAGGCTGCTGTGTCACTCTTCCCGCTGCTTCCTGGTTGGCACACCTCTGCCGGCGTGCTGTAACCCAGAGACTCCCTGGGTTAAGACGAACGGGCTGACTGAGTCACTTCCTTTCCCAGGGCTGGGTCCTTGCAGACACTCTCAGTGATCTTGACTGACCCGGGGTGGACTGGTCTGTGTTTCCTCAACCCGGGTATCCTTAAGCTGAAGACCATCGTGACTGAGAAGTCTCTAGACGGTGCCACGTATGCTCCTATGTTTGTCCCTCGCTCACTTAATGGCTATGGGTGGTTTACTGTGGGGAACAGTGCAATGGCAGTATGTTAAGATACAGACATACTGGGAAAGACACTTTTTGCCCATTTACTGTTTGGCCTCTGGTTGATCCTGTATTGTAACCAGCATCGTTGCCGTTGGCCCAGAGCTCTTAATGGACAGTGTTTCGTTTTTTAAAGTTGGGTTTATTACAGACGGTATATAAGCACAATGATTGATCTCATCATTGCTGACACACACCCCTGCCACAACTTACTGCACCAGCTGCACAGATGAGAATCTTGTTTCAGGTGGACAGCGGAGGAGTTCAGTCATGAACTCTCACTTCATCAGATCAAAGCCACTGAGTGTCTTGGTAGTCTAGTGACATGAGTGTCTGTATTTTGTAAAGTGCCTCATTTCCAGGGAGTTGTTTACATACTCACTGTATTTAAACCAACAAAGCCCCCAAAAGTATTTATAGAGAGTGTAGGAAGAAACTCTTCAGGCTCAGAATCGGTAAATGGGTAAAGTTGTAAGACAGTGTTAAGCGGAGCTGCACGGTGCAGCGTATCCACTGTGACTGCTCAGGTTTGCAGACTTTCCCGAGCCTTTAGTGACTGAACAGGCTGAAGGCCCATAGCCAATGTGAGGGGGTGGAGCGGCTGATAACAGGGCGTTTGGGGAGAGGTGTCACTGGTCCTGAGATTGCGAAAAGGAAGAGGGCTTGTGGCGCTTCTCGGACCTCTTAGTCAGTTTCCAGAAAGCCACAGAGGTCCTGCCTTCCGAGTACGGATGTGCTCTGGCCCACGTTCCTTTATGATGATTCCCCTGAGCAATTCCATGGAAATACAGAGCCCGTAGTGGAATTGTCTGTAGGACGGCAGAGAAGCAGTGTTGACAACAGTTATTTATGTAAGGAGTACGCTTAGAAATCCTGACAATATTCAGCATGTTTGTCATTTGGTGTTGTAATTGTTGTATGTGTGCTTTGGCGTGTAATAAAGCAGAACACCTGAGCCTCTGTGGGCCTGCGTTTTCACTGCCTTGCCACCAGTGAAATGATGACAAATAAACAAATCTGCCTGGGTTTCTCTGGCCTGGTTTTGCTTCACTTTTTCTGCGGTTCTTTTTCACTTTATTTTCTTCCTGGTCATTTCAGTGATGTGCTCAGGGTGAAGTTCTGTTCCGACTCTCCTGTCTTCCGCAGTGTAAGGACAGAAGCACTGGATAACATTCCTGGGAGCCCCTGAGAAACATCGCTGTAAATTTTGTGTGTTCCCCATGCCCTTGTAACCTCAAAAAGGTGTTAGGGAGGAATGGTTATCCGAGCAGGATGGGAATTCAGGGAGCATAAAATTAAAGCAACGGATGCTGAAAGTGACTGGTTCCTTAAATATCTGGAAACAAATACTGCTCCTTTCAAAGAAGTCACCTGTTAGGAGATGTGTGAATTCCAGGTGTCAGTTTGAGCTGCTGCTGTAGACATTCTGGAAGTCTCTAAGGTCCATCCTTCTTAGTCTACCAAATAGTGGCCGTGGTGCTTGGGGTTTAGGAAAGCTTTTTGGTTTGGTTTCGGAATCCACCCTGCTGGGGCTTTTTTCAGCCAGTAGTTTGTACAAAAAGTGGCCTAGTATTTTTTAGATGTTGTTTTCTGTGTTGTCCACAAGGTGGCGAGTGAACCTTTTCAAGTAGCACTAAATGTGTTCTTTGGTGCCTTCTAATGAAGCAAGGGGAGCTCTGGTGGCGCAGCGCCTAAAGGATCTCACTGCTAACCAGAAGGCTGGGGGTTCAAACCCACCAGCCACTTCTCAGAAGGAAGGTTGGGCAATCCTACTTCTGTAGTGATACTGCCTCGGAAACCCAAGGATGGGTTGCTATGAGTTGGATCCGACTCAATGGCAGTTTTGCTTTGGATTCAAGTAAGAATTTTTTTTTCTGGAATTAGATGAAAACGAGAGAGAAAAGGACTGTTTGTCTCAGGGATGCATAGTAGGTCTTCATGTAGCTTCATCTATGCAGGCTTCTCTCTCACCCACTGAAAACTCCCTTACAGTCAAACACTATCTTCTAACACAGAGCGAGGCTCAAGAAGGTGACATAAATCACAGGTTTCTAAAAGGTCAGAGACTCCTGTTTCTTGTATACGACTTGAAACTACCTGTCCTCAGCAGTTCAGTATTTATGGAATTAATAACTGGGGAAAAGAGAAACATGAGAAAAAAATCATGAATATAAGGTTGGGTCACATTTCAAAGTCGGTCAGTGGGAAAGGTTTTAAGAAAGTGAAAAAAGGAGCTAGAGAATGCTGCACAGCTGTTCTCAGAAGTCACCAGAAGCCACCAGATGCATCTCGCATTGGATCACGTCTCCAGGGCACCGCTTCTCGCCTTGATCCTCAGGTTCCGAGGCCCATCCCAGACCTACGCAGCCATCTCTGTGTGTAAGAAGAGCCTCAGCACCCTCGTTTGAGAAACACTGCTTCAGGGTTCTTTCTGGCTGGCAGGGTCCCCACCCACCATGTTGGCCGTTTTCTCCACACCTTACAGCGATGTGTCAGCTAAGCAGGCCCCAAGGATGAGTGAGTGTTGCCTCTGATAATGCGCCCCATGGAGAGCTAGGTCCTGCAGGTACTGGGATCGCGGCCTGTCACGCTCTCGCCCCTCGAAGATGGAAACTCACCCTGCCTTCAGGCCTTCCCTTCACTCTGTCCTCTGGGTCCCTCGCCCGGCTGTGCCCCCAAACTGCACCCCCAGGGCTCCTGTCCCCCCGCCCCTAGACCTGCAGATGTCCCCCGTGGTGTGGCTCTCTGACTTGTAAGGCCCCAGTTGCCAGGCCTTGATTCCAAGCACAGAGCTGCGTATGCGGTGGAGGCAGCCTGAGCCTGCCCCGCAGAGCCCGGGCTTCGACCATGTGCTGACCGCTCTCCAATAGTAACTACTCCCTTGACTGAAATGGTCAGCGTGAGAATTAGCCACCAGTCGGCACCCTCTCAGCTGACGCTGAGGTAAGACAGTTTCCTGCCCATTTCCTTTGCTTTAGGAAGTTTGGTTTCAAAACAAGGTAATGTGACAACAAAGAGTACTGGTGGCGCAGCCCTGGGCTGCTCACTGGAAGGTTGGCAGTGCGCACCCACCAGCCTCTCCGTGGGAGAAAGATGGGCCAGGCTGCCTCCTCAAAGATGACAGCCTTGGAAGCCCTATGGGCAGTTCTCCGCCATGACAGGGTCCCTGGGAGTCGCGGTCGGCTGGGCGTAGTGGGTGATGTGATGACGAGGTGATGTGTTAAGCTAACCGGGGTTAAGGCACCCAGCTTTCATTCTAAAGCTCGCTCTTTGCGACCTTATGTACCAATGGAGCGGGGTCCCAGCTGGTCCCTTTGTCCTGGAGTCCACTGCAGAGACCCTCAGCTTGGCAGAGGCCCTCCCCACGGGCCGGCCTGTCCCGTCTTTCTTCCCTCTGGCTTCTGCTCCAAACCCAAACAGGCCGATCATC